TATATATATATATATATGTGGATATGTATATATATATATATATATATATATATATGTATATATATATATATATATATATATATATATATATATATATATTTATATATATATATATATATATATATATATATATATATATATATATATATATATATATATATATATATATATATATATATATATATATATATATAAAGATATTAGTATTAGTATTAGTATTAATATTAGTATTAGTATTAGTATTAGTATTAATATTAGTATTAGTATTAGTCTTAGTCTTAGTCTTTAGTATTAGTAATATTATTAGTATTAGTATTAGTATTAACATATTAACATTAATATTAATTAACATTAGTATTAATTAACATTAGTATTAGTATCATTAATAGCGTTAATATTAGAATTATCATTAACATATTAGTATCAATATTAGCCTTAATATTATATTTAGCATTAAAACATATGCATATTAGTATTTGCATTAGCATTAACATTAAAATTAGGGGCGTGGTAAATCCCACACATAAATTATAAAAAAAATTCTCTCTACTCAAATTCTCTCTAAAATGATTTTATCCAAGTCACTCAAAATTCATTATTTTTTTACCTGAATAATCATAAAAAATGAGTTCCGTTTTATTTAATATTTATTCAATTTCATTAAACTTTTTTAATTATTCAAATTCACATGAATTCGAATTTTTTTTCTCAAATTCCATCATTATTTTAGTTTGAACGTGTGAAGATTTTTGTTAAATTCGAACTTGGAATGGTAGGGATGTTTTTAGTGTGTGATTTTATGAAAAAGTTAGGGAAAAATAAAAAGTGCGGGAAAGGAGAAAATAAAATTTTAGAGAGAAGTTATGTGCAAGATTTGGTAAAAATAGTGTGGGATTTAGCATTTCAGTTAAAATTAATTAACATCTTTTTTAATTCATATAAAAATTTAGGGTAATTGGCATTTTGCACCCTCGAATTATATGCTTTTGGCACTTTGCACCCTTAAATTAAAAAAATAGCACTTTGCACCCTTTAATTAGTATTTGCTTGGCACTTTGCACCCTACTACATCTTTTGGCTGAAAATTTGACCTACAACCGGTTATATGGGTTTCAAGAGAAGAAACTTTGGCCTTTTACTGCAACTGGGTATACGGGAAGAAAACAACAAATTCAAAGAATCCCTAAGAAGAAGCTCTAATATTTTTTTTCTTCAATCCTTCCAAAATAAATCTTATTTTGCCCTAACATGCTATTTTATTAGCTATAACTCTAGAATAGTTGGAGAAAATCAACACTGAGATGCTTTTAGATAAAAAGATTATCTAAAATTTTATGACTTGTGTATACCGATATACATTGGTTATTCTTCTTTGTGCCCGGTCATGGAGGGGGATTTCGTCGAGTTTCACAGAATCTAGATACAATGGGATTTTATGATTTTCCTCCTCTTCTCTTTTATGTACTCATTATCAATAAAAAAGGGCTCTTCTTCTCTTTATCTATTCGTTTTTAGAAATTTTGACAGTAACTCTACTATGAATATTAATGAGAGGCTATGGGGATTTCTATGGAAAATGTTCGGTCCCAAATAAGGTCAAATTATTTGATTCGAGGCTTCGTAAATAGACACTTCTTAAAGTTGCCGGTTTTATTATTTGTGGATGAATTATGTCATGTTTGCCATCATCCCTCTATTTACTCTGTTTTTTCAATTATGAGTTCTTTGTGTATCATAATACAAGT